TAGGACTTGTGCTTCTTTAATACCAGTATTCTTTAATACCGTCCAGTTCATTATCTTTCCCACTAAGGATTTGTTCTTGTATCAGACGTGGTGGTAGAGTGAGCTTGTCTTTCCCCATTTCTCAGTTATGACAAATTTGTTTGAGCTGTTGGGATTACAGGTATTCAAATTACTGGGGAAAAAAAAAATCACAGCGGGATCAAAGTAACAAATATAATAATGAAAGAATTCATCTTTTCTCACTGATCATAGCTAATTGTACAGTAGGGATAGCATATGAAAATTACTTTAAAAATATCTGCTATTTAATGTTCAGCCTGTTTTCTGACAGACAATATGAAATACGATAAAAAGTTGTGTATTTTTCTCAATATATTTCAAAACAAATGGCAAACCATAAAGAGATTAAGTATCTTGAGAGGATAGTCTTTACATACAGAAGCTTTGTACATACAGTGCAGATTACTACGTTTATTTTACCAAGTAAAAGAATTGTTCATTGTTCACTTAATGTTTTTTCAGTTTATAGTGGTCTTGTTTTTTTTTTTTCCACAAATACGTTAGCTTGTATTAAAACGATGAATAACCTGCTGAAAACTTAAGGTTAATGGGCTTTGCTTAAAAAGGCAAATAGGGAGCTGAAGCATCTTGTTAAATTGTATAATGCATATAAAGCATTTAATATAGAAATGAGCAGGTCTGTTCTCTGGTCATTTCCCCTGGCACGTTTTATTTCTAGCACTCTGTGCTGTTCCTTCTCTTCCACCTTTTTAATAGACAGAAATTCAACTAAGAAGCCCATGAATTTTTATTAGCCCAGGATGTGATATTTTTATAGGCAACAGCTAGTAAGACATACATGATTAAAAAGAAGCTCAGAGATCAGTAACCATCATGAATTTTAGTATACTCATCTGAAATTTTGCTAGTTGAAAGAAATGAAACTAGCCTCCACATTTAGCTGAATGTTTGTCCCTGCATTCCCTTTCACTGCAGCAGGAAGATAATCACAAGATGGTTGTGGTTGCCAGGATCTCTGGGTCCATTTGTCCCATCCCCTGCTCCAGCAGGGACACGCAGAGCAGGGTGACAGAACTACATCCAGGCAGCTTTTGGATATCTCCAAGGAGAGACCCCGCAGACTCTGGGTCCTTGTGCCATCGCTCCATCACCTGCACAGCACAGAATTGCTGCCTGATGGTCAGAGGGAACCACCTGTGCTCCAGTTGTGCCTGTTGCCTCTGGTCCTGGCACTGAGCAGCAGTGACAAAAGCCCGGCTCTGTCCTATGTGCACCCTCCTTTCAGCTCCAGTCAGAATAGGTGGGAAAGATCACTTCCCATCAGCAGGCAGCTATTCAGCCCCTTCCAGAAAAGCAGGGCTCCTCACATGTAACGGTTTCTTGGAAAGACAAATGCTGTCAGTCCAAACATCCCCCAGTTACTCGTTTGAGCCTCTAAAAAGAAAATTAACGCTTTCATAGCTAAAACCATGACAGCCATTTAACCCAATATAGAAAGAGCAAGGGCAGAAGAGTTTCTGTGATCTTTCCTCCTCACACATGCTCTGCATTCATAGGCCATTTGATCAGATTAGTTGAAAGATACATTCTTGCTTTTTTGATCTGCTGTGTATGGCTGCGAAAACATGAATGAGCTATTTTGGCTTGTCTGACCAGTAAGCGGTATTTGGTGGTTATCACGTGCCTTTGATGATTCAAGGGGAAAGAGAAATTCTTACAGAGGAGAAGCTGGTAAGGAATATCCATTGGCATCAGTAAATACTTTGGATTTGTCTCTAATTTTTCTTCACATCCCTAAGCCATACTTCCTCATTAGAAGCAAGAAGAAGATTTGTCTGGGCAATATGAACTTATGTATAGACAAACGTACATACCTATTTGCACATATTTATCTTCATCTTGCAAAGACTCTCTGCATAATCTAAAGAGACTATCGCGTCATGAAAAGAAACAGCTTGCATTATATGTTTTAAATATATTTCTACAATCACGAACAGGTGTATTCTCAACATAATTTGGGCAGAACCACAATCACCTACTGTATCTTTGTTCAAATAAAGGTTTTGTGTAAAATAAGCAAGTGATTGTAGAGCAACACTATCAATTGTTTAATCTACATTGAGGCTGTCTCACACTTTCTGAAATGAACATTGCATATACATTTTCAGATACCTGTACTGTTCTTGAGCTTTCAGTTGTATTTAATCCAGTTTTTTTCATGGTAGAGTAATATACTTCAAAGAAATCACTGGCATCAGTGCAATTCGACGTACACACAGAATATCAATTAGTTATACTGCTATACACAAAGGTATCTTACAGTCTTTAAAAATGTTACAATATTTCTTTTTCCATTGTAATTCTACTTGCAGTAGCTTTTCTTCCCATAGCCACAAAAGCAACAAGTTTAGTTTTGGAATAAAAATCACCCTTAAAAAATGTTATGTCTTTGGAGTGTTTTAGTGAAAACTGATTTGATTTCACCAACTTGCACCTCGCTAAAATAGCCCACTTGTCATTCTGGGTGTGTGGAACAAATATTCCAAAATTAGTAAGGGAAGAAAAAAGAGAAACTTAAGAAGCTAGAAGGCATTGCAGCAATGTGTATTGTGCACTAAAAAATTAATATTGGTTCATACGCTACCTCAGCTTAATTCATTCTACATGAGAAGGTGCAGGAATTACTTGTTTCATTTATAGCAAATTTTCCAGCTTGAAAGGTACACGGCTTTTAAATTTGCAGAAAAGACTTGAGGAAATTTCCCTGTAGACATGGCAGAATCCAGGGGAAACTTGCGTATTAAAAAATTGGATTTTTTGTTCATAAATTTTGAGTATATATGAGAAATCAAATTGAAAGTTCAAAAGCTACATACTGAACTGCAAGAAGACAAGCAACTTTGCTGACAGAACTGAATTCTTTCTCTACTACATAAGCCTTATTACATTGGGTTTAGTACGTGGAGCATACTTACTTGGACCATACACAGTACTTGGATCTAAGAGGAAGAGTTCTATTATGTGCTTCTGATAGAAACTCTTTCAGAGTTTGTGGAGTCATGTATTAAAAGCAGTGCTCCCAAGGACTACATTGCAGCCTGGTGCTGTTCCTGAACATGTACCGTGACAAAGATGTGGCTTCAGGATCAGGTCTCACACTTGATTCAGGTGTGCAAAACCCAAGCAAAGCTGACTTGGAAGCCACTTCTGTACTTATAGAAGGACTTGTCAGGTAAATGCTAATCTCAGTACCAATACACTGAAACACTGACGTGGTAAGTCTGATCTGACTCTTGCCATACAAGTTATCAGAAAGGTCGTTGAGCTTTCCCTCCCCTACCCATACTTCCTCCTTGTCCTTTTAGCTGGCCTACAAGCCTTTTGTTGTAATGCCGAGTGCTTCAGATGTACTTTGAAACCAGAAAAAGGAAAAGCCTTGCTGTTGTGACTGCAGAGGAGGGACACAGCAGGTTCTGGATCTAAGATGCCCACTTTCCCCCGTATTTTTAACTTACCTGGCAATGTTACCAATGAAGCTCTCCTCTCTTCTCTGTGCCTTCACTTGCCAGTTCTGCCCCCTGCCCTGTCCTGGCGCAACCATTAGTGCAGCTTTGAGGCGAATCAGAAGGGGAGGCTCTGCCCTGGTGCTGGCTGGGTGTCCTCAGTTGGGCTCACTGCTCGCGCAGGGCTGGTGCAGGGACAGACAGATGGGTGGGCTGAGTGCTGCCCTGCCAATTGTACAGCAGTGCCAGTCAGTCAGCTTAAAATGCATGGGAAGCTATGACCTTCTTTAGTTTGTACATACCAACTCAAACCAGTCTCACATTTTGGAGACAGAAGCAGGTTCAAGTGGATCGTAAGGAATATTTGTTCATTTCATAGGGCATTGAACTCACCAAAGAGTGAAACTGATTTCTCTCATTTGAATGTGTTTATTTTAACATATTTGTGTGCTATATGGCTGTGTGCTTTACTTCAGCTGCATCTGAAATGGATGTGCATACTTAGTGAAGCAGAATTATAGTACAAGCTGAAGGTTGCTTTCATGCTTGCTGTTTATGTTCTCCTCAACAAGACTTTAACAGTTAATGAAGCTAGTGTGAGCTATCATATTTTAAATATTTAATTATATACATTGATACGGTTACTTGAGACATTAATGCATAAAATCCATACTCCTTTCTAAGTCTTAGAATTCTCTGTGTATTTATTTTTATTCTGTAAGAATGTAACTGAGAAATACCACCATTCTTTGATGTCTATTTAATGACTGAAAAATACTATATTGCATTTTAGAAAAATAACCTGATATTATATGTAAGGTTATCACATTGAAAAACACAGGGGAGTATTTTTGTAGCATTAGACACACATTACTGAAAACAGGAAATTGAAGTAAAATTAATCAATGCTGTCTTTTGAATTTAATAAAATTTGCAAGCTTTCAGATCAGGCTGTTATTTTCAGTTTGCTCACCAGCTCATGCACAGGAAGGAAATTTTTTAGACAGTTAAAAAAACAAGTCAATTAGATAGGTAATGAGTTAAAATGAACTGAGAGACATTCTTAAATGGCATCTGTTAGTAAAAAAGTAGAGTAGCTGTATTTCTAGAAGCTGAAAGTGTTGCTAATGAGTACTCTGTTAGGACTAAGTGAATTTTTACATTTAAGGCCAAGCTGTGATGTTGTCTGGGAGTTGTAATGCAAATCCCTGAGCAAAACTCCTAATTCTGCTGTGTGGGACATAGTAAATCTTTTGTAGGTATAGGAGACTAGCAAACAATGTGAAATTGTTTTTACTTTTTTCCTAGAATCAGCCCTGTTTAATCACGCATTATACTGACTGTTAACTGGGAAAAAGAATGCATGTCTTCTAATGTTAGTGTATAAAGACTGTGTTTTTGTACTTTAAATATGTGCTTATTGCTTTTACAGTTTCTCTTTGCTAATTCTGACATTATCTTGTTGGCTTCCCACAGATGTAAATGAATGTGAAGCTGAACCCTGCAAGAATGGTGGAATCTGTACAGATCTTGTTGCCAACTATTCATGTGAATGTCCAGGTGAATTTATGGGGAGAAACTGCCAACAGAGTAAGTTTTGCCATGAGTTTACATCTCTTTTTAAAAATGTAAGGATTTTCCTTGACAAGAACAAGTAGAGAAATGTCTGACTAGTCTTCAGATGCATAATGGTTAAAACAGTCATGTTACTCTCTTATAAATGGAAAAAAATTAAGAGATCTAATCTGTCAGGCATTGAAGTAAAGCATCGGATATGATGGAAATATTAGCAAAACATAAAATTATTCTATGAGTCAAATGGGAAAGAGTCTATAGTGTAAAGAAGAAAAATATAAACACTGACTCATACTGAGTGTTAATCTATGCAAGTATCACATCTTCAACAGTTCTTGTTAGGAAATATTGCTACTGTAGAGTAGGGCATAGAATATTTTCTCTGATTTGTCTCCATCATTTTCTGCTCAGGGGAGATCCTGAGCCTGATTGTTTGATTCAGTACCTGGAAGAATGATCCCTGAAAGCTTTTCCTGCAAGTGCTTGTTTGATCTCTATTGAATTCATTCACAAGACCCTCTAGCAAGGAATACCACAAGTTGTCTAGCCATTCCATGGAAATTAAGCAACTTATTTTGTTTGTTTTGGCCTTGTCTCTTACTTGTTTTAAGTAAGAACCCTGCATAAAAAAGGTATCAAGCAAGTAAGGGGCTGATCTGAAGGGAGAACAAAAGCAGACATGTGCAAGATGGATCACTGCTTTACAGAGAATTTACTAGTGGAGCTACTCCAGGATCTGCGTTGGGAACACTTGCACATGGTTTTATGAATAATATTAAAAGTTCATTATAAAGATCCAGTTCCTAAAGCTGAAGGAGGAATCATTCACATATGAAGGACTAGGTAATCTTAGAAACCAAAGTAACAAAGGTAGAATAAACTGTCATGTTGCTAAATTCTTTTCTGTACTTCCTCTGGGAAGAGGTCTACATATGAAGCTACCACCAATCTGATGATTGACAGCATCATGGAAGGAATGTAAAATGAGATGTGCTATAAGAGTTAAGACAAAAGTAATGTGCTACTTAAATTTGTAATTATAAAATAATGTGTGAAATACAGATATTCAAACATTTAACAATGGAAATAATGTTTTTACTGGTTGGTGACATCTGAACTACCACTGTTGAGGGAAGTGCCCACATTTTTCTACTACTATGGCACTAGTCATAAACGTTTAGCATTCATTTCCTTATGAGTAGCTTTCCACAGGTAGCACTAAAAAACAGCAAATTTTCTTTTCAGAACGCTGATATTGTTGTGCCGTATAACAATTCCTATTGGTAGCATTATGAACATCCACTTTTTTCATGAGAATCTTAGTTATGCCATTACACCTAATTATATAATTACAGGTAGTAATTACACATTCAAATTATGCCATTAGAACATTACGCATATTTACAGTAATCATATAATTAAATACTGTTACACTAATTATGTAAATGAATGATTGCTGTCTTAGAATTACCTCACAGAGCTCAAGGATTGCTTATCCACATCATAGAATGTGTGAAATAACCTGGATAGAGTAGAAAAAAGACAAAAGTGTACTCTGCACTCATTTTTGCTGTCATTGCAGGCCTGTGCTATAGGATGTTGTTCCAGTGGTACATTAAGATTTCCATATTGCAGATACTGGTGCTTGTTATGGGATTCATCAGCTTGAAGTAGTTAGATATTTTTCCTCCATGTAAAATTTCATTCTCATTTTTTTTCAAATGCACTGCATTTCTCTTAGCTATTTAGCTGCTAGCCGTTCATGCATATGTGATGCTAAAACCAGCTGCTTCTTATTGCTGGAAATCACAGCAGGAGGCACAGACAAAGTAATGTGAAATACAAAAGCAGTGATGGCTTCCAAAAATATTTAGTTGTTCTGAAATAAGCTTATCATTTTGTTAGAGAACCTTCATTGAGCATCCGGTATTCACAAAATTTGCTCACGGATGTTTTATGACAACAGAATAGAAAGATAGCACCTTTCCCCATGCTGTGAAGGTAAACACTAAACAGTATTAACTGCACATTACCTTCTACATTTCTTAAGGCCTCAGCACTCTCATTCTTACAACTGCATCTTCTTCTGTTCTTATGTTCTGTGAACCTATTGCTTTCTTCTGTGCTGAGTTCAGGCTGTCAGTGGTGATTACCCCCATTAAAGCTTTCCTTAGTCTTGAGCCACTAAAATAAGCACTGGTTCCAAGACCTCCTGGGCCTGAGGATATTACATTCAGGATCATAGACTTCTCTTGCAGGCAACAAAAAGCCACAATTGTTGATGTCAGATTGATAACATTACTCAGTATGACTTTATGCTGTCAAAATAGCCCATGTGCAACACAGGTTGCGAAGAGCAATAATTTTGTGTTCAGTTGTTTAGAAAGCAGAGGGCATCAATAGTGCACACACTGCAGTTCTACCATTGTGCTTGTGGAGATGTATTTTGTTGATTGCCAAGGATTTTTGCCATTAAAACATACGGCAAATTTTCTCATGCTATCACTTCAAATTTATAGGTTAAATTTGTTACTCTAAATAGTTTTTACAAATGCAATTACAAAATTACAAATACATTTGTATAATGTGCCACAAAGCTTGCTGTGCAGTGTATCTTCATGGTGTTTTACTATTTTTTTTATGTCTTAGTACATTGATGTACTAATGCCACACTTGGTAGTCTTCTGCATTCCTCTTTTTTTCATTTGAAAATTTACCTCCTTTCTGTGTCCTCCATATTGAAAAATTACCTGAAGATTTGGCAGATTTAGACACAAAGAATCCTTCCAGGCTTCTGTTTACATGCATCGTTATACTCCTGGACTACATGACCTGTGATGATTTCTCAGTGTCATACAGATTATGACCTTAAAGTGAATCAAAGTTTCCTGTTGCTCTCTTATTATATTCACTAGATAGAGAAGTTCTTGTAATTACTTAAAAATTCCAGACATTTCTAAACAGATATTCAACACCTTGCAGGAATAAGTACTAACATATCATACCCCATGTTTAATTGCATCCTACTGGAAAGTAGCAACTCCAGGAGAACTTAAAGCAGCCTAACTACTTCACCTCTCTGCCTGTCTTAATGTTTCTGTTGCTGATTTTTCTGGGCTGCCTGTTTGTATTGTTTCCCCAGCAAAACTTGACACAGGAAATTAAAAAATAACAAATGAGCCATGTCAGTTCCTTGATCAGTGAACTGCTTCACCACACAGGTACTGAGCTGGTACAAAGGAGTGGCAGGTAATGGAGCCTGGGCATAAAATCAAGACTTAAGACAAGCTGAAAATGTTAATCAGACTAATGAAGGGAGAAAAAAACTGTTCTTTAGTTCAAGACAAAGGCAAGAATTTACCGCAATTTTTTATCTCTCTTGTTTTATTTCAAAGCTTTTAATATTTGAAAACTAGAATTTTCAGTTTGTTTGCTGAGCATACAACAGGCAGAATTTCAGCAAATAACATATCTTCCTGTTTGCCATTATGTGGAAAAGTTCAGTCTTGCTGCATGGAAAAATACAGAGACTGTATCTATGTATGTGCATACCTTATACAAGGTATGTATGTGTACATACCTTATGCCTTTAGAGAAATTAATTAACTTTTTAAAATGTGCAGGGTATATAACTTACCATTTGTATTTTGTCCTTGCTGGTTTAGGGAATAATGTGTCACTAGTCTTAGAAAAACATAAGAATGGAAGAATTTTTGTATCTAAAAGAACTGCATTAATTTAATACAAAATTAGTGCTAATCACTAAATTAGCTAGTGCCAAATGTGTTTCTGGCCTCTTAGGATAGCACACAGAACTATCAGTAGAAATATATTAGAAACAGGTTCCAAAGCCACAAGAGGAAAAACTTTTAAATGTTCAATATGATTTTAGCCCATGTAATTCAGCACAATCTGTTATCTTTCATGTCCTTTTCTTTCTTGTAAACTCACGGTAAGAATAGAAATTATTTAAGAAGTTAAATATGTACTGACAGATTTCAGTAGTAAGGATGATGCTTTTTACATATTCTTAACTATTTCTGCATATCATGGATGGACTCCCAATTTCTGTATTTCCACTGGACAAAAGCCCTCTTAAATCTCTTGCTGAAACTAGTGAAATTTGCTGAGGCTGGAAACAGGGTCTGGCTGGCAGTACATTGGTATGAAAGTGCAGAGAAGCAGAAAAGTTACAGAAATAACAGAAAGCATTGTTAAAAGTGGAATGTTCTCCCAGGCATTTCAGTGACCTAGTGAGAAATAATAATCAAACCCTAACACATTTAATATTGAGTCTTCAAACAACAAAGCCAGCTCTGGCCCTTCTGCTGCTAATGTTCTTTGTCCAGCCATCCTGTTACGATGCAAAGGTGTGCAAAATTCAGCTCAGTGGATCAGAATGGTATCTCTTCCTTTCAGCACAATGGGAAAATGAGACTGAACTCTCAGTATTTGATACTTAAACAAAATCCTCAGTCCTATGCCTTCAGGTACATTTTCATCTTGCTGCTGTTGTACTGTACAGCAGCGTCTTGCTTTGAAAGTTCATTTCTCAAAATCTAACTTTGATTAGGCAACAAAGGACCCAATCTTTACTCAGACACCTGTCAGAAACTCATTGTAGAATATTCAGACGCCCTCAGGAGCCAACATTTTACCCATTTAATCATCTCCTTGCTCCATGATTGACATAGTGCAGAACTAGCTTTTAGGTTGTGTCAATAACTCCAGTACTGAAGTCAAAACCATTTTCAAGAAGCTACAGCTTGACTTTCTGACATCCTATGCGAGCTTGAACCAACTTGCCACATTTCCTTGCTTAAACATACTGATGTACTTTGCTGAGGCATTGTGTCGTTCTTTACTTCTGAGGACTCCCAATTACTTTCTGCAAAGAGGTGAGAGGCTGCACTGGGGCCAGTGGCTCCCTCTCCTAGTTGACTTCTGTCTTCTGCTTCTTCAGCCTGAGGGAGCGATACAACCCCCCCTTTTCTTTAATGTTCTGCATTACTAAT